GAGAATGTGAGATCCAAATCTGTAGCACTAACTTTTTCTCCAAGTTGGTTATTTTTTTCTTTAGAAATTTTTATTAACATTGGTTTACACCATTACTCCCTTATGAAATTACACTTTACTGGCAGTACAAAAACATTCCCATTAAATGACATCCACACATATATTTGGGAATGTTGGACGTCTCAATTTTTGCTAGTGTAGTAAGGGATAAATGTTATCTTATTGTGGTCTTCATTTGTACTTCCCCGAATGAGGTGGAATATCTTTTCATATGTTTGTAATTTGTGTATCTTCTGAAATATCGCCCAGCTAATGTGCCCATTTTTCTACTGGGATGTCTACTGTCCTGTCTATTTAATGCAGTAATTCTTGTCCTGTCTATTGAATGCAGTAATTCTTCATATATCTTAGGTACTAATGTTTTGTACCTTTTTTTTAGTATTTGTCTTTTTACTTTATTAAAAATTATTTTAATGTAGTTAAATTATCAGCCTTATAACACTTTTTGTCTTAAGAAATACTTCTCTGCTCAGCAGTCACAAAGATATATTTCCACATAACTTCTAGGAGCTTTAAAGTCTAACTTTTTAAAACTTCAATCCATCTGGAGCTAGAAGGGATCATGCTCAGCGAAATAAGTCAGAAAGAAAAAGAAAAATACCGGATGGTCTCACTCATAGCAGGAATTTAGAAAACCTAAATAAGGGACCAGGAAAAAGACTAACATAAAGTAAAAATCAAAATCAACAAGCAACTATAAACCAGAGACACATTACCAGGGTGGGGGGGGAGGGGTATGGGGAGAAGAAGGATTAGTGTCAAAATAAGGGGGGGTGCAATTGTATGCGGATATAACCAAAATGAAAATGCATACATTGTACAAAAATGAAAAATGATGTAAGAATTATATAAAATAAAATATTAAAAGAAAAAAATTCAATCCATCATTATTTTTCAGTTAGGTTGTAAGGAGAGATCCATTTTTTCTTCCCACTTTGATAACCCACGCCCCATTACTGAAGGTGTATTTTTTTGGATCTTTCATCAACTATTTCTCACCTTAGTTTGATGAACATTTACTAAATGCTCACTTTGTACTAGGCACTCTGCCAGAGGTGCAAAATAGAATCAAATGTGATCTCTCCTTCCCTAGAGGTGTTTAATGTAAATATCTCTTGATGTATTTTACTTCTGCAAGTACACCCCTCCTTCCCTAGAGGTGTGTAATGTAAATATCTCTTGATGTACTTTATTTCTGCAAGTACATACTAGGTTCTTGGAAATTTACCATTTCTGAGTTTTAGTTTCTCCACTTGTAAAAAGGGTCACCTCACAAGATGAGTATAAAAGTTAAATCAGGTAACTACACTGCCAAACAAATGTAAAGAGCAGTGTTACAAGCCACATATTGGGAAGGAGGTAGGAAAGCTGTGGCACACTAGCTAGTCTCACACTCGAGTATACTTTCATCTATCCATTTAGTCAACTAATCACTTATCTTGGAGGTTCTGAAACATGCTGCAAATTAATTGATACTCACTAGAGTGATATGTGGTGTCCTTTGAGTCTGAGCAGATGGCAGTGACTAGTTAGTCAACACAGTATGGTATAAGTAATGTTATATGATTTTCGAGATAGGGCATCATAAAATGTAATGCAACTTCTGGATATTTTTTTGAAACATACTTGTGTTGGAGCTTTGAATCTCCATGAAAGAATCCCTACCACCCTGATGCTGCCATATTATGAGGAAGCCCAAATTAGCCTACATAAGAGACTACATGGAGATGACTCAACACAAAACAAAGCAAGAAATACCTGGTTAGCCTCTACCTGCTTCAGCCCTAGCCATCAATGCCTGAAACCACATGTGAAAGCCCAAACAGAAATATCTGACAGATTCCTTCCTGAATTCCTGATCCACAGAAACTGTGATAGAATATATAATTGAAACCCTGATTAGACACATTTTGCATAATTGTGAAAGAGAATTTCACATTTCATCAATTCTAAATGAAAAATAACACGAGAGCTAAAACAACATTTTATATGTGATTTTGATAATATATTTGATTACTGTCTACAATGGGGGCATCTTGGGATCTCAGTATTATTTGGTGCATCCTCATTTTAGTAGAAAATGCCTGAAATTGCTAACTTCATATAAACTTAAGATCCTTATCCAGTTAAATGAAAGCTTTGTGTGTTGTATCATGATTGCCCTAGTTTTATTTATATTATTAGCAGAGAAAAGTAGAATATTTACATAAAGTTAATTTTGTCCTTTAAGTATGAATTGGATGAGTTTTACTATTGATTAAACTCTAGCAGAAAATGAATACTGATAATTCTATATTTTAAAAAATACTGTTTAAACAGATTATTCGTCAAGGTGTGGAGTTGTAACTAAATTCACCAAATAAGCTCCTATGCAGATATTTTTTATTATTCTGATGTAGCCTTAACAGACATTGTAAAATCCCCTAAAAATGTTCAAACATTAATCTACACATATGAGAGTAATTATTCCATTTGAAAGAAGAAAATTATGGAATCAAATTTGAAGTTACTGTAAATTATTATAATAAAACCCTGAAATTAACCAGCTGAAACAAATGACTATATCTGATAAATGCACTGGTGTTTGTCAAGTCATTATGGTGTTGGCCAGTTCATTACACATGCAACAATTTGTTCCCCAATTTAGTGGGATGAGTCTTCAGTATATGCAGAATTTATAACAAAGAAATCTTAAGTGGCACGCCTACCACATCTTGAAAAGAACATTCATAAGAATCAGAGAAGATGGGCTAGTAACAAAAACATAAGACCCAATAACGCTAAGCACTGAAAAACCTTTTTGAGGTTAGAAAATCCTAAATGAGAACTTAGAAGTCAGGATGAAAATAGTTAAACAAAGAAAATCAGAAATCCTGGTGAAAAGTTATAAAATATATACATAATAACTGCTAGGAAGGAAATTTGATTATTTTGAGGTGAATAAAAATAGACTATAAAGGTTATGATTTGAAAGATCTAGACAAACTGGGGTCAACAGAATAAATGATAACAATTTAATAAAGAATAATCATAGTTATTTTAATTTGCATTATTTTTATAGTGCCAAAGATGAATAATTATGAATCACACAGGTGATTATAGTCAGAGTAGAAAATGCTTATCTGACATGAAAGGATAGATAGCATATACATCTTACATGTCTAAATGAAGTCTCAATTATATAGTCTATAGTGAATTACAAATAAAATTGCTTTATTATTTTCAATTCTTGTCATAATTTGCTAATAGGAACAACATTTTTGAGATTTTTGCATAAATATGCAAAACTAAACAAAAATAGCGAAGATGGTAAAACACTGGTTGTATTGCAAACAAATTGCTGAGTGTCATGAAAATAAAAATTCAAAGCAAAGACATAATGAATATGCTAAGAAGCAAATCAACATTCATGATTAAAATGATAAAAACACTCAAGGCAGACCCACCTAGAACATTCATTATCCATAATTTCCATGAGTCCTGAAAAATGTAAGGATGACAGACAGAAATGACTCCAGCATTTAGCATCGATAGTATATCATAAATAAGATGGCAAAACCACATAGTATCTATGACAAAGAACTCAGTTCCCTTTGCTTCTCATTGATCTGATCTAATATATATTTCACAAAATTTTGAACATTTTGAAAAGTCAAAGAGATTTTTACATTGAATCAGTAAATTCATGATGGATAAAAAGACCTAGATTTACAGATGTACACTTTTTACACTTGGTCCTTACTTTTTTTTTTTTTAAAATAATCATTTGAGTTTAATCAACTAGTTAGAAAGAAAGCTTTTACAATCTTTATTACCTTAATTTAATTTAATTTTTAAAATAAATTTTATTTTTATATTCCCCATACAATTGCAATCCCCTTATTTTGACCCCAATCCCTCCCCTCCCCTCCCCCAACCCCCATAGAGTATCTCTGGTTCATAGTTATTTGTTGATTTTGATTTTCATTTTCTTATAGTTATTCATTTTCCTGGTCCCTTATTTAAGTTTTCTAGATTCCTGCTATGAGTGAGACCATCTGGTATTTTTCTTTTTCTTTCTGGCTTATTTCGCTGAGCATGATCCCTTTCAGCTCCATCCACGTTGCTGCAAATTGCATGTGTTTATCTTTTTTGAATGCTGAGTAATATTCCATGGTTTATATGTACCACATCTTCTTTTTTTTTTTCCTTATTTTTTTTTAAAGATTTATTTATTTATTTATTTATTTATTTATTTATTTATTTATTTATTTATACAAGCACTGGGTACAGTCAGAAGCGTGGGAGGGTGAGAGAATTCACCAGAGCCAGAGCGGGGAGCAGAGCAGGCAGAGGGACCAAAGTACACTGCTGAGGGGAGCAGCGGGCAGCAGGAGAGGTCTGCGCGCCATGTGGGACCCTCCTCCAGTGGCTGGGGAGCAGCTGGGGATTGAACCGGCGCTGCAGAGGCTGCAGGCAGCTTCGCAACCCAGCGCTCAACCGCTGCACCACAGGGGAGGCCCATGTACCACATCTTCTTGATCCAGTCATCTATTTTTGGGCATTTGGGTTGTTTCCAAAGCTTAGCTATTGTAAACAGTGCTGCTATAGACATAGGGGTACAGGTGCTCTTTGGAATTGATGTTTCCGTGTCCTTTGGGTAAATACCTAGGAGTGGAATTGCTGGATCATATGGAAGTTCTATTGTTTAGTAGGTCAAGAAATCTCCACACAGCTCTCCATAGTGGTTGGACACTTGGTGCTTACTTTAAGTGAATGTAACTGGCATCTTAACATAAACCTAAATGGTAAAATATAATATTACATAATACTATGCTATGTCCATTATTACAATAATTAGAAACAAAATCCAGGAACATTCAAGTACTTTCATTACTGGTAAAACTTTTACTTTTTATTACAGTTTTTTTCCTTTTATAGAGATTTATAAGATCATTTACCTGTAAATGAACAATCCTCAGAAATATATCTTCTCTCATGCTCATCTCGATATCAAAACGAGAAAGTTTTTTGTCCGCTTCTGTACTTGCTGCCCGTACTTCTTTGTCAGGGGAGACATGCTGGGGAAAGTCTAGCATGGTTCGTTCCACTGTTAATAGAGGAAAAAATATATTTTATACAAACATTAATACTAAAAACCATTTCTTTCTGTAGTTTGCCACAAAGACCTGATACCAGACTTTTGCTCTTACTGTCAAACTATGACCAATGCTAAAGCCTAACACCTAACATCAGACAAAGAGGGTTCTAAGAGCCATTGCAGGAGAATAAACTCCAAGACCACATGCTGGTAAGCTGATCTTTAAAAAGCTATTCTTAAACTCAAAAATTTTAATGATTCACTCAGAGATACCTAGAGGTAAATTTATGAAAGAACAAATATCAGGAAACTAAAATAATATTTTAAAAATGTATGAATGGGGAAAAGAGTTTAAGATAATTCTTTTTAACAAGATTTTCTTTTCTCTCCATTGATTTTTCTATTTGTTAAATAAATGCAGAAATTGCTAGGTTAAATGTGGACCAACTCTAACTTTGACTAGCAAGACCAACCAGATACTTTTTATTTAAGAGTTTAAACTCAAGACTCAAGTAAGATTTAGCAGACATTAATGAGAGTGAAGCAGTTAGCTTGGAGGCAGAAAGTTAAACAGAAATGCAAAACTAAGAGAATGTAGCCATGTCCCTACTGCAGTGGTATACAGGGTGGGAAACTCTTGGTTTTGAGGGATCAGTGGGGGTAAAAACTGTGCAAAATTCTGGACAAACTTCCAAATTCCAGAGTATCTAGTTCTACAGATATCCTAAGTTCTTATAAAGCCTGGATACACAGCCAAGGTTGTTTAGCTGTAATTATCCTACAAATATGTCCAACCCTTAAAGACAAGTGATGTGAATCTTCATTCCTTATAACTCAAAGGATCTAAAATTTATATTACAAAAATAACATATTTTAAGTGTGGGAAATAGGGGAAATAGAGAAAAGCAAAAATCAAACTATAAACCCAACACCTAAGATAATAATAACCATTATTAAAATTTGCAGATTTTCTTTCTCTGTTCTTCAGTTGTGTGAATGAATACTGTTCCCAAGCATGATTTCAACAACTACATCACATTACAAAAAGAGAATGTACCATAATTTATTTAGCCATTTTATTGGTTGACATTTAGGGGTTGCATTCAAGCCCTAAATGTTGAACAAATATCTGTTTATACATATGTTTATATATAGTATTTTCCTATATCTAATTATTCCTTTAGATTAACTGCTTAGATGTGGAATGATTAGATTAGAGCATGAAGTTCTTCACAGTTTCAATACATGTTGTCAAAATGCTCTCCAGAAAGCAGTGTAATGGGAATGTACATTTTATAGTACATTGGTCAACATAATAAATTTTTTTAATCTTGGGTGATTTAATTCTAAGCAATTAATTATTATGTAAAAACCAATACCTGTACAATTAGAAAGTGGACTGCCAAGACAGAAAGCATAAAATCGTTTATGATGCCCACAAAATGATACTCTGATGTTCTTTTGCATCCTACTCACCTATATATTTCACTTCTACATCTGCCAGTGCCTGTAAACAGTTCTCGTAAGTTACTTCCTTGATGTCAAGCATTCCAATAGTATCATACACCTGTTTGGTTTGCACAATGAGCTCCTCAGTTCTCGTTTTAATTTGTTCTGGTGAAAGATCCCATCTTAAAACATTTCTACCAGCAGTAGCATAGGAAGACATTGACTGAAGGGGAGACATCCCTTCTCTTCCTAAAGTCATTCTGAATAAAATCCTGGAACCACCAACTCTAAAAAATAAATAAACAAATAAAAATCAGAAATGAATAAATAGTTGGCATTTCTGTTAATCTGAAGTGAACACACAAATGTATATTGTCTAGTTAAATTTTAAATTAAAACAAATTTTTCATAAAAAAGAATGAATTTATTTCAGGTGAACACATGCACAAAACTAAGTGTTCTCATGTTTTCTATTTTTCTTGAAGAGTTACTTTTCTACTAAAATTTTATGTAAATCAAGAATGACAATTTGAATTTAAGATTCTGAAGATAAACACTGGTGTAGCTATGGCCTTATCCTGAAAGAAAAAAAATAATTAAAAATGATACCTATCCTTTACTCTCTTAAAACACTCAAACTAATAACTGATGCTATAAGCAATTTATGATATTTTGATTCCACTTGAAATGAGTTTTTTCAACTAACTAATAAATGACATAGAGCAAGATCCTAAGAGAGCTAGGAAGAAATGGCATATAAAACATGGGCAGACCATTTTATTTTAGATAGGAAGAGACACTATAGTCTCCGTAAAATCAATGAAACTGGCAATATTTAAGATTATAGTAAAAAAATGAGATGTTTGGTTACAAGAAGCAGTCTGGGAAGACCCAGAATATTTTCTGGGAAATGAATGGTTGATATAAGCCAGTTGAACACTGCATAAAATAGCCTACTATGGGATAAATCATCTATGTGAACACAGGAGTCAGTAGTTTGATAACTGAGCCTGGAGATAAAAAGGAAAACTGAACCAAGAACTGTAGTTTACAATGAATGAAGGGATCCAATGTGGGGGTTAGGGGAAGATATCACGAGCGGGTGATGGGAAATGGTAAAACTAGATGGTGAAGCTGGAAGGTTTTATACAATGGTAGAAAGAATAGTTTGGAAGATAACTGGGGAGGAGCCTCAACAAAGGGGGTGTGAATCTTTCTTCCCGCCTTGGTGGAATAGGGTGTGGGAGAAAAACGTTTATAGGGGAAATATTTTCCTCAGGGTTGAATGGATTTTAGTGAAGTTTCAAAGGAGAGGAGAGATTTAAAGAGCCTGAAAAAAAAATGGAGGAGTTTATTTACTATGGAACAAGGGCTCCAGAAATAACAAGGGAGGAGTCGAAGAGCACCTAGTAACTATGTGTTGGTTGTCCAGATAGTCACTTCTTTACTCTGTCTAATCACATACAAATCTTACTTCCAGAACTTACTCCCATGAATTCCCCACATGATCTTGGGAGGTGGGTGGTCCACACTCAGAATTCCTATGATACAAAGGGGTGTCACACCCACTGAGTATGAGTAAACGTGGGTCTTATATTGCAGCTGGCATTATCTCATAAGAAAGAGTGGAACTGACTTATGGTGAAATAAATGTTATGAATGGGAGAATAAAAGTCAAATATTTACTGACATCATTTAGTTAGTCCCCAGAGCAATTAGTTCTTTTTTTTTTTTTTTTAAGATTTATTTGTTTATGCATACAGGAATTGGGGGGTGAGAGGATTCACCAGAGAGAATGGGGAGCAGAACAGGCAGATCTACTGAAATACACCTCTGAGGGGAGAAGCGGGCAAGACAGGAGAGGTCTGCTGCGCCATGCAGGTTAGCTACCTGGCCTGGGATCGAACTTGTGCTCCCTGGCCTGGGATAGCACTGTGTCTTTAATCCCTGTGCCACCAGGGAGGCCCTCAATTAATTCTTAAGCCTGACCTAGAACTTCCAATTATGAGGCAACTCTTTAAACTTGTCTGAATGTAGTTTTATGTTATTGCCTTATAGAGTATCCTGACTGATAAAGGAATGAACACAAAAAAATGTATGAAAGTCATAACACAAGAAGTGATGGTTATCTGGAGGGCTTTACAATCTTGGTGGTGACCTAAAATAATCAGATGTGAAATTCTGTGTGGAGTTGGCTGAACATTTACAAAGTAATTATTCCCACAATCCTTCATGTATACAAAGAACTGAGGCCTCAAAGGAGTTAGTCATGACCATGATGGATTGGGTTTCCAAGGAAGTTTTAGTACAGGTTGAAGAGGCTGGCTATGGCATTACCGAAGTAATGCATAAAACATAAGACTTCTACATTTTAATACCCTGTTCTTTTTAGCACTCTTTTCAGTACAAATTAATTAACATGGACACTTTTTTTTTTATTATTATGAAACAGCTTTAAATTAGTTCACACATTTCACTGATAAGAAGACATCCAATGCACTTCATTTATTTTCTAACATTGATCAAAAAAAAGGCTGAGTGTTTGGTCACATCATACCTGAATTTGACTCGGTTAAACCGATAAAGAAGTCAGTACCTCTACCTTAGCACAAGAGATCTGCCTATAATCACCCTGTACAGCTGCTGTTGCAATTAAAAGTGACCCCATCCTTATCATAATTTCCTGAATGTGAAATGGGTAAAAAGAAAGGAACATAAGTTAGAAGCCATGATCTCATGGATCAAAAGAAAACATTAATTTTTCCATCTTATACTATCTTTTCTCACCTTCCATAATTTTATCTTAATTCCTTCCAGGATCTATAATTTTCATTATCAAAGAAAAGTAATGGAGATAGAAGGATTATGTTATATTTCTAACTACAACATTTTGATGTATTGAGAATTTTTCTATCTGTATGGTCTCTGCTTTTCACTCTCATCATCATGTTGCTGAATATTCTTTGTCTTCTCCTTTGTTACAAATTCAAGCTCACTCTTCATTTTGTATGCTGGTATGCTGATCTCTTTCACTTCAGTGGCTCTGCCTCTGGAGAACTGCCCCTAGGTGAAAAAACCAGTATACCTGCAGGATCTGGTGAGGATTTTCATGACTTTTTTTCTTTGCAACTGAGAGCTACAAATGTTGAAAGCAGGCAACACAGCACGAGCCTGTTTTTCTCTGTAGGAGTCTTTTCATGCAGTTATTTGAAAATGAAAATCTACATTAAATCTGAGATTCCTACTGTCTCATTAAATACTAAACTTTTTTCCCTGCAAACTTGTAAGCTATTTACGCCTTTATTGTCTCTTGTCTTTAAAGCACACACAACTCTGAAATTTCTAACCAAAAATAAGACAGAATACCATGCTGGAGGTATATTTGTTAAAGCTACAGTCTCCTCTGTCCAAAAAATGAAGAATTACTTAGGCAAAGAAAGTGAGTGGCAGAGGTTTTGATAGAGATCTTCAGGTTGTAGGATTTCATTTGGACAAATATGCCAGTTATTCTGAGTTAATTAGTCTTAAAACTTTTGCAAAACATTTTATGTTTTGCACTTTCAGAAAGTCTGACTTAGGAATTCATTTTCTTTTGAAGCATAAAGGCTTTCACTTCCTCCCATTAAGTTTTCTTTGACCATTCTAGGTCATTCAGATCTAAGCTTCTATCACCTTTGATCGGTGCCATTCATTTTAGATATTTAAATTTCTGCCATACACCTGTTCAATCGGCCTGCTCTGCATTTTAAATTAGACTAGAACCTTAAGCATAATAATCACTGAATTTCTTTAATTGTATTATTTTTTAATTGAGGTAACACTGGTTTATAACACTATATATGAGTTAGAGGTGCAATCACATCTCTTTTGATGTATGTTACCATGCCACACCCACCAACAAGGCATCCAAAGTCCTCCATCACAGTCCACTGGGCCCCCTCCACCTTTACTCCCTATCCGCCCCCACCCCCTGACCCTTGCCCTCTCGTAGCCCCGATTCTGCAATCAGATTTCTGGAGTTTGTTTTGGTTTAGTTTTGTCAGTTCCCTTTTGTCTGTTTCTTAATATTCCACCTGTGAGCAAATCATTCTGTATTTGTCTTTCTCCTTCTTACTTTGCTTAGCATAATCCCCTCCATGTTTATCCATGTTGCTGCAAATGGCAAGATTTCTTTCTTTTTTTTTCATAGCTGAATAGCCTCTGTCTATTCAGCATCTAATCCACACGTGGCACTGGGCACTGCACTAGACAATCTCATCTCAGGAAAGGATATCCTCTAGAGCCTGTGGGTACCCTTTCTCTTTTTCACTTGTAAATCAGTTGCCTTGAGTATATTTTGGAGGAAGAAAAGAACAGAAAAACGAGGAAGTTTGAATTACTGAGTAATTTACTGAATAATTCCTCTGTATCAGGCAGTAGTAAATCACTCATTTTAACCATACTGAAAAATATGTATGAGTAGGCACTGTTTCCAAGAACATCAATATAGGAGAAAATACTTTTAGTTCTAAGGAGCAGGGCCACAGATACTGACAATCAGGTTAGAATACAAAACTGGCTTTTCTATAAGATTGTTTAGATTTCACAAATCCTCCACTTTTATAATTTGAGAGTTAATCTTATTACTAGTTGTGTCTACCAAGATGAGGTTAAATTACAAAATTTTACCTACAGGTAACTGTCACTAGATCTCAGCACAGCAAACATTTGAGAACGTCCTGTTTCCTCTCTGCCCTGAGTGTCCTTTCATGTCTCGCATTCCTGTCACCGTCTCAAATGTGAAAGTACCTCCCACTGGTGAATGTCTGCCATACTCCCAGTCTCTCTCCTGACAGTCAAACTTTCTTACATCCTCAGCCTCTTCACAAAATGTCTGAATGGAAACCTGGATTCCTGCAGAACCCACGGCCTTCCCCATGGAGTGTGCTCATTCTCTCCAGTTTCTCATGCCACTGGGGCTTGTGACAGGGTGAAATTTCTCGACATTTCCAATGTAGTTTCCAAATCATTAGTGCTGCCTTCCTGCCACATTGCTCACTAACTAGCTCTCTTTGCTGCTGTTTTCAACTGACCTCACTCTGTTTCCTCACATTTATCAAAGACTACAATCCAAAATCATCCCAGGGAGACAGTTTCTTGACCTACCGCATGCCAAAAACTTTCATATTTACTCTTCTTACCTTTATTTGAAGATGTGCCTCAGAGATAATAAATTTTAATGCTCCATTCTCTGACAAAACCTTCTAGCATTTAGTTTTCACTTCCCTATTCATGAATCTTATTTTCCCATCTCCTTTAATCCTCCAGTCCTTTGATCTATTTTCTCACTCTAAGGCTTCTCCTGCAGCTCCACTTAGACCTGGACATTTATTGTGTTTAGAGGGCCCCACTTAAACTCTCCTGCATCTGCACTCCACTCCAGAGGGCTGGAGCAGAGCAACACCTCCCCTATCACACTATACTCTGAGTATGCAGTACTCCAGAAATCCTCCCTCAAATGGCCTCATGTGGGTCTCTCCCCTGGATCAGTCATCTCTGGGTGAACTGTACAATTGCTGTACAGTTCTGAGGGGTGGTCTGAGGGTGGTCACTAGTGGGGGGATGTGGTTGGAGTCTGGACTTGTGGGTATAGTACTTGTGCAAACGTGAGGCTCCTCATAGTATAAGAGGGGATCAGAGGCTGTATTCCAATTGTACTCACATCCCAGACTGCAGGTGTATCAAAAGTGATTCTTTTCAATTCAGCTTTCCAGCCCCCACAGTGGTTATTTAAAACTGTGACCAGTCTCCCCAAATTATTCCTCTCACTGTTACTAGGGCCATCAAATAGAAATTCCCTCTACTTCAACCTCCAAACATAGCTTTATCATTTTATTCCTTTTCTCTTTATTCCTAACTAGTCTAAGAAGCATCTGTCTTGTTTAAAGTCATTTTCTTACTCTGCTTGAGTCTTTCTTTCAGGAAAATACTTCATGAAATATTATCTCTTTTAGTAGAATCTTTTAGTAGAATCTTGAACATCTCATTTGTGCTACTTTTTTACACACATACACATGCTTAAGGGTTTGTTTCTTCATCCAAGCAAAACAAACTTCCTTGATCCTGGATCCTCCAGTAAAAACTACCCTCTATTTCTTCCTTTCCCTTCATAGCAAGATTTTTCAGAGTGGCCTAGCCGGTCTTGCTATCTTCATGTCTTCATCTCTTATTTGCTCTTCCACCTACTGCAATCTGGATCCTGGTCTCATAAAAAATGGAAACAGCGTTTACCAGGGTCCCCTATGATCTCTATTAAATCTAAGTAACATTCTTCAGTACTTACTGAAGTTGTCCTCTTCTTAATCATCTTTAATGGAACTTTCCCCTCCCTTAGCATTTGTGTTAATGACTTCTCTTTTTGTTCTAAGCTTCTGGCTTTATCTTCATAATTTCCATCATCTGCTCTTTTTTGTCCCCTTTCTTTGGATTCCTTAGTGTTCCTCAGGATTCAATTCTCCGCCCTTTCCTTTCTTTAAATTTGCACACTCTTTCTGGTGTGTTCCTGTCCTTCTGATGGCTACATAAGCCACCCATAGCTATTAGTGACATCCAAATTTGTGTCTCTAGCTCGTCACCTCAGTTTTGGAACCGTATATCTAATACCTACTTATTGGATAGCTCCACTTAGATGTCAATGCTCAAGTCTAATCCAGTATGCTAAAATTAAACTGATTATCTTCCCTCTCTCCCAAAAACAAATGTGCCCAGTGAAGATCACCAGTATGCACTCAGTGGCCTAAATCAAAAACCCTCCCCGAATACCTTCTTTTTTAGATAATGTCCAATACTTTCTGCGGATTGCTGCAGGGTACTCTTCCTATATAAACCTCATCATGGCACTCCCCTTTCACAGCATGGCTCAGGATCAAGTGCATAATAATCTCACTAACTTCAGGATGAAATTCAAGCTACTTAACATACAAGGTCCTTTTGCATTTGCCCATATCTATCTATTTGGATTTTTCAATGACACCCCATTGCCCTCAAATCTATGCTCAGGGTTGAATGAACTACTTTCATATGCACCTCAAAGTGGCAAACTCTTGGCAGGCCTTGGCAGTGTTTTTCACTCTACGTGGAATACCTTTCCTTCCTCTTGAGGAATAACATCTCTTTCATTTCTTACTTATCTTTCAGATCTCAGTCTGGACTTCACCTTCCCCAGGAAGTCTTCTTCAACTATCTCTAGCTGTTTCAGGAATTCTTCCGTGATTCTACAGTACCCTACACATACAGTAACCAAAGCGCTTGTCACACTAAATAGTATTCACTTCTTTACTTGGTTGTGTCCTTGATAAACCTTGACTGGGTTTTGGTGATATTTGCAGACTCTGTACCTAACATGGTTTTTGGTACATATATATTTTAACCATGATACGTTTACCCCCCAAATTCTACGTAAGCTTATTTAATACTTATCTTTTATTAAATGGTCAGAAAAACTTAAAAGACATTTCTCCAAAGAGGAAATGAAAATGGCCAACAGGCATATGAAAAAATGTTCAACATCCCTTATCATCAGGGAAATGCAAATTAAAACCACACTGAGATACCATCTTACACCTGTGAGAATGGCACATATCAAAAAAGCAAGCAACAATAAATGTTGGTGAGGATGTGGTGAAAAAGGAACTCTCCTACGTTGCTAGCGGGAGTGCAAACTGGTCCAACCACTATGGAAAGCTGTCTGGAGATTCCTCAGTCTACTAAAAATGGAGCTTCCATATGACTTGGCAAATCCATTACTAGGGATCTACCCAAAGGACACAAAAACATTGATTCAAAAGAACACCTGTGCCCCTATGTTTATTGCAGCACTATTTACAATAGGTAAAACCTGGAAACAATCCAAATGCTCAAAAACAGATGACTGGATAAAGAAGATGTGGCATATATACACAATGAAATATTATTCAGCAATCAAAAAAGATAAACTCATGCCGTTCGCAGCAATGTGGATGGAACTAGAAGGACTTATACTCAGTGAAATAAGCCAGAAGGAAAAAGAAAAATATTGGATG